AGTCTGTCGTCTCTCCTTTTCTTCTCCAAGTTCAGTGTACTCGTAGAGTCGTCATCAGCTAGTTGCAATATACTGCCTGAGACCGTTACAACTATGGTTCCGTGACACACGAGGTAGTATTTGCTACTCCAGGGGCAGTATATCGACTTTGTCTGCCTGTTGATTCACGGCTCTTGCACCGCGAGAAGGTAGTATCTGGCCTCCTCGAGCAGGACTTCCAAAGCCTGCTTATTCCCTTCGATGTTCCAGAGTAGGATTTTACACTTCATGCTCTCGGACGGCGATAGAGTCCATCACTATATCCTCTCCATCTAGTATAGATGTGGCAGTAGCTGTAGAGCCAGCACCTGTGGCCAGCGTTAACTCTAGGACCAGTTCGGTAGCTTGGTCATATAGCGTGGTGTCGCTAGCAGCGGTTGCTGGCGGGTTTATAAACCGTACCCTATCCGGCTCGAAGCTGATCCTAGTCTGTTGTGTAACGGTCTCAGGTAGTATATTGCAACTAGCTGATGACGACTCTACGAGTTCGCTGAACTTGGAGAAGAAAAGGAGAGACGACAGACTCTGGTAGCTCGCAAGCATACTTATCCTCGTAGGCGCGCTGGTCTGAGCGCGTTGCTAGAAGGTTCGGTGTGCAGTGGGGCGAGTGAGAATAGCCTCATCAGGGGTCTTGGTATTGGCCGAGAGTCGCCGAGGCTCGCACCGGGCCCAGCCCGTTACATGTTAAGGGTCCCGGGCAGCTCGGTCTTGGGCTGCGGCTGCATATGTCGGTCTCCCCCTTATCCTCTTCCTACTGACCACTTGGTAGCCGTCGTCGTTATCTTCTCTATTCGTAAAATCGAAGTTGAGTGGGGCAAGAGTAGCGGTGGTGGTACCTGTGTTGGGGTGTATAGTTGAGACTGCTTCGTAGGTCCGCGGTCGGAACTGGTAGGCCTCCTTGGCCTTTGCCAGGACCTTTGACTTCACAGAGCATTCTTTCGACCCGGCCGGGTGCCTCCCTCCGCAAATCGGACATCGGAGCGGGATCTCGCTGTTGTGAGTTGGGCATTGGGACTCTCCATCCCTGCCGCCCTCCCCATGGGCCTTCGTCCCACACCGGGAGCACAGCGCTGTCGATCTACAGTGGTGTTGCGTATAGCCCCATCTCCAGCATTTGAAGCACTGTACTGGACTCAGTGCAGGCCAGTACGGCTCACAGTCAAGTAGCTGGGGCCGTTACAAGTATAGTGACCGTTCCACCACCTTACTACAGTACGTCCCGACAGGCCTCTCCTTCCTCCAAAAGACAACAGCGAGCCAAAATGGCGCTATTAGCTTGAACGTAAGCCTGTTTATCATAGCCCTGTTGAAAGATATGGCACTCAGAACAAGGGCATGGAGTCACGGAAGCAGGTGTAATTTAGCAGGCTTGGAAGGCGTTCAGAGCAGTCAATTAGAGAGAAAGATATGAGCTTCAATCAACAGGCGAGCCGCCATGCAGCTCTCGGAAACCCATTCATAAGCGTTCCTACTTGTGATACCGTAGATTTGTTTTCCCAACAAGTACACCTTGTCCCGGATGCCGAGGGCCGACAGGAACCAGTGGCGGGGCCGGAACGCGAACGCGGAGCATGGGCGAGAAGCAGGGCAGGAATGGAGATCAATGACACCGCCATCTCCAAACACGAGCATTATATCCGAAATGAAACGCCCGAAAGTTCCGTCCGGAAAACAAGCGCGGCCACAGGCGGTAGGCGCGTTCTCCAGTGCACTAAGCAGACGGACCACACTCAATACGGGCGGGCAACCTTCTGGGTGTTGACGAGTGGAGCGTGACCGGCTGTAAGCGCTGCCCTCCCGAGAACGACAATGTGCGACCAGTACGCGTTCTCGCGGGTCGTACGCCCAAGAACTTGTTCTCGACGAGAGACTCCGGTCGATAACAGAAGACTCAGGTTCTGTGATACTCCGTGCTGACAACCAAACAGAAGAACGATAGAGCAGAGAGAAGAACCGTCAGAAATGGCAACAGGAATTGTATTGATGCAATATTCATCGAAGGGTTCAAGACTGCAGCCAAGGCCGCGTTATATCGAAACGATACTGCGTAAGAGTGAGAAGAGGAGTGTGCGTTTGCTCCGCTTTCTACAATGGGCGCCAATGGGGCTGAGTCCCGCGCTTTCTGCCCGAAGAGCCTCGCGGCAGCTTAGAGCCCTCTGAGCCCAAAAATCTGACCAAATTCCATAACGTGGGCAGTATCTGGATTCTCTATTGGGTCACTCCAGCTCCAACATGGCGTTATCAGTGGCATCTGCCGCGTTTGAGGCTGAGAATCGACGCCCGAGGAAGTGCATGTTTATGGGCGGAACACACCGGTGGCTTAATAAACAGTGTTTACAGTGTTTGGGCACAAGATGTTTTCCGCTTGTGCCAGCCTTGAAGTTGATAAGAGGACCTTGGTGATCAAAACAGCGCCTCTCACTGCAAGCAGTCCAAGATCCCCAAGATGAGACTTCTGAACGCCCGCACTCGCCAATTTAAGGAATATGTCAATGGGGACATTCCCCCGTATGCAATCTTGTCGCACACCTGGGATTAGGAGGAGGTCTCGCTCAGCGACATGACGCATGCTACAAGCGATTACCCCAGCAAAAAGGGATACCAAAAGATCGACTGGGCATGCCTCCTGGCGCAGCAGCAGAAACCGGCCCTCGAATACGTGTGGATCGACACTTGCTGTATCGACAAGTCAAGTAGTGGCGAGTTGGTAGAGGCCATCAACTCCATGTACAGCTGGTACGCACAGGCCGAGGTCTGTTACGCCTACCTCTCGGACCTCAAGACGACTGCGCCCCTGGAAACATTGACCAACTGTCACTGGTTCTCGAGGGGATGGACTCTCCAGGAACTCATCGCTCCTAAGCGTATGATTTTCTTCGACGAGAACTGGAACCAGAGGGGCACAAAGAAGGACCTCGTCGACAGACTCTCGCACAAAACGGGCATTCCCAAAGCAATTCTTCTGCACCAGAGGCCGCTCTCCTCGGTGTCCGTTGCGCAAAAGATGTCGTGGGCAGCAGGCAGGAAAACGACCAAAGTCGAGGATACGGCGTATTGTCTCCTTGGCATTTTTGGTGTTCATCTCCCCTTTCTGTACGGCGAGGGCCACCGAGCCTTCCGGCGACTGCAAGACACCATTGTCAGCTCGGTGCCCGACTTGAGCATCTTTGCCTGGAAGCTGCAACCACCTCCGTCCTCAACAGACCCGGCCGAAAGAAACTTGCAGCGCCGCGAGTATTGCGGTGTCTACGCGCCGTCACCCTCCGCATTCGCCGCATCTCGATCCTTCGTGAAGCGAAAGGCATTTGGCCGGCCGGAGCTGCTGCCCATGAACGGCAGCATCATGGCCAGGATGCAGTTCTTGATCGAGATGACGCCGAAGAACGGAGGATACCGCTATCTCCTGCCGCTCGATTGCCACCCAGAATCCAAACCGGACGTCACACTTTATGTCCGACTCCGGAAACTTGGTCACAACGAGTTCGTGCGGGAAAACCCGTACGATGTTGTTGAGTTCCCCCAGACCAAACTGCTGGACCGCCCTATCATCCCGGTCAGCCGCTATCTCCTGCCGGAGCTGCCTTTCCATGAAGAAGACGCGTTGATCGGGCAAATCCCAAGAAATCCAAATGCTGACTTCGTTGGTCAGACTCGCACTTGTGCCCTCCAAGTCAAACTGCCCGAAGGGATGTGGCTGCATATGCTGGACGTCTGGCCTGGCCATCGCTTTGACGCAGAGGATCACATCTTTTACCTCGGCGGTCATGATGCAGGGCACGACTCCGCCATGGCGCGTCTCAGGGGAGGTCGTCTTTCAGAAGCAGGAGAACCCATGCAAGTCGATTTCGAGTGCATCTTCTGTGCCGCCGGCTGGTCGTCGACGAACCCAGACTCGCGCCAATGCACCGTGCTCGATTACGGCAGATTTGCGTCGGCCCTGTCCGAGTTCCGGGCAGAGGTCTGCGGCTGGGACTTTCGGACGAGCCACTTCCTGGAACGACTGGTCTACCACGGGATGCCCAGGGCTTCCTCAGCTGTCGTCCAAGGGAAGAAATCCCGTATGCACGTGTCTTTCAAGGGGAGCCTGGTGCAGGATCCCAATATCTGCCGGAATAAGTTCTGGAGGATTGAGTTTTTATGTTCACCTTGCGAAGAGCATGATGCTCAGGCGTCTGATGGTGCACGGATTGACAGAACCGTTTGATTCGCAAAAGACCCGACCGTACCAAGAGTTGGGTGGCACCCATCTTCAAAGCTCCTTATCTCTGTCCGGAGGACAATTTTGTTGCCAAACTTTTGGGAAATTACTATGGGAAAGTCGACGGAAATTGATAAGGGATTGCGGAGCCCTCTTATCCGCCCCTGGGGACTGGTCCGTGGCTTTGCCGCCCCACTACTTGTCTGATTCGGCTGTGCCGCAGGCTGGCCCTTCCAATGCCGCCTGCATGCGAAGCGAGCCGCACCCACCTAGTTCCTGTCCTCAACTTTGTTTACATGGCCTCTCGACATCGTCGACAATGACCTACGATGTTGCCCTCCTGCAACCACCCAATTTCCAGCTTCGTTCCTTCTTGGTTCCAGAGTATTCCCGTTATGGACAGGTTATTCGGTCACTATGGAGGGCGCTGTCCCTCAAGTGCAATGGAAAGTGTGTCGCGACTGCAACGTTGAGCAGCCGATCAATCAGTTTTTGGATCGTCGTGGTAACGGCAGGATTGTCAGAAAGTGCCTGGATTGCAACAAGCAGAGGGCATCAGTTACAATTCCTGTTGGATTTGGCAGGTGGTCAGAGAGGGCAGTTCAGGGGTGACTAATGGCTTGGCACCAGGATTCTCAGGATCAGGATCAGGAACAGGCAGGGAACTTCTGGAAGAACACAGACAGGAACATCATCATCAATTGAGTGGTTGCCCATCTTTTCGGTACCCAATTACTACGGTGCGGCACATTCGTGGCTGTTGGCTTTCCAACAGCTACCTTCGTGAAGATGCCGTCGCTGTTTCTCCCTGCGGTACAACAACCTGGTCCTCGGGTTCATGTTATACCGGCGGCCGGCTGAAACGACTCCACACTCCAGGGAGAACCTCAACTTCCTCACCCTCGACACTTTCTCTCACACCATTCTCCAACTTGAACCGTACCCGTTTATCTTGCCCGCTTCTATCATCGTGCCCCGGCAAAGGAATCCTCTCCACCGCCGACGACGCGTCTGATCCCTGCAAAGTGCTGGGCTTGGGATCGAAGCCTGCCTGTAGAATCTGCCTGGTCTTCTCGAGCCTTTCCTCAAGCTTCTTGATGTAGCCTTTTTCCGGGCCTCGTGGCCGAGGCGGTGGTGGGTGTGATTTGGACGGTTGAAATGTGTTGTTCGATGGTGCAGCTCCTGGTGGGACGTTCTCTTGGAGGTGCAGCGCCGCCGTTGTTGATTCTGGCAGTGTATAGTTGAACCCAAATCGCCCAAGCCTGGCGTGCTGGATAGTGTAGTCGTAAGAGAAATCCTGGTACCGGTCGTTTCGCACCGGCTGGTTTCTGGGCGAGTGATTCGGTACAGTACCAGGTGACGTTGGTGGCATGTCGACGGATGTTATAAGGGTTGACCCTGGGGTGAGCTTTGGGACTGGGGCACCTGGGGTTGCTGCGGTGACCGGCGGGATAGGCATTGGGATCGGATCTCCTGTGCGTCCAGGGCGAGGGCGGATTGGGATGAGGGGGGCCATGGAGGTTATGTTTTGGTCCTCACCTTCAAACCGGAAGTCGACAATGGGCGGTTTCGAGTTCCTCAATCGTTGTGCAATGCCTTCCAAGGCAAGGTCTGGCAACGTCTCCCGGTAGGGAAGGGGATCAAAGCGGCGAGGCAAGGGGTGCAGAAGGTAGGACTTGCTCCTGGACACCATTGAGGCGTCTGAGAGCGACGTGCACGACGTGGCGTCGTCGCCGGCCGAGAAAGTTTCAGAGAAGACGGACCGGTTTGTACTGGGCGAGGAGGGGCGGTGCGGAGCGAAGTGCCGCGCTATGGGCGCATACCCGTCTCCCTGGTTGGCCTGCTGTACGATGGTCTCTCCAGAATCTTGGTGGTAGACGAGCCTGCGGCGAGCCGCTGGACTCGAAACTCGATCATGATCAACCATCAGAGGATAGTGTTCGCCCTTACTCTGGGCAACCAGCTGAGTGATCCCGACCTGGGCGTCCCGCTGGTCGTTATGGAACTGTAGGAGAGCGAAAGGATTGACACCTGGCCTGGGCTCCCGCTTGAAGTACACTATGAGGCTAGTGCGCTCCCTGGTGACCCGCTGCGTATGTGTTGACCTGAAGGGCCGCTTCGGGGTTCGAATAATGATAACCGTGTTGGTGCCCATCTGATACCTCTTCCATCGCCGGTCTTTCTTTCTGGACTTCTTGTCCTTGACAACCGCCTTCATCTCTTCGTCCAGCTGAACAAGCGTCGTCTGGAAGTAAGTATCGTCGTATTTCCCCTGCAGGTCCACTAGAGCAAGCTCGATCTGGAGCTTCTCGTGCTCGCTGAGTGACTGCAATTTGTCCGCGACTGGGCTGGTATTCTGATTGAGCCAGCCGACAATCCTCGCCGCTTCGAGCTGGGAGACATCGGGGATTTCGGCCCGAAGTGCTCGCTTCCAGGAGGGCTTCAGCCGAGTGTCACCGCTGCCGTAGCCGTTGCCTTCGTCGGCTTTTGTAAGGCGGACGACCACGTACTCGGACACGGTATCTCGAGCTTCCCCAGCCGCTAGGCGCCGTTCCCCGGTGACATGGTAGATGTTGACAGAGGGTTCTGGATCGACTCCGAAGGGAGTGGCAGGAGCTGCATTGCGATGCTCAGCGCTTGGCTGGGAACGTAGAAGATGAGCTTGATGTTGGTTGAGATAGAGATCTAAATTGGCCGGCGGCGGCAGTGGTGGTGCGATAACGGGCGAATTCCTCTGGCTCGACGGCGGAGCGGCCTCATGGAAGGTGCTGAAGCCGTCCGACCTCAGTCCTTGGACCTTCATTTCCTGAGCCGAGAAAGCTGCTAGAGCCTCGGCAAATACTTTGACTGCAGGCATCACGAGTACCAAGCCTGTTGTTGAACTCCCAGCAATGACATGACCGAAAAGCTTCCCAGTCAGAGGGTCCTTCACCCAGCTCCCGCAGTCTCCCAGATGAAGGGGTCTGTTGAGGACAGCCATGTAGACTTCCTGGAAGATGTGCGAACGTGGCAAACGCACAAACGACGGTGTCCCTGATAGCGTTCCGCCAATAGTTCCGTTGGGCGTGGACGCCAGGACGGCAGTGTCACTTGGTGCGCTTTCGACGTAGTCCTGATATGACTCGAGGGGGATGGCCGGGTTCCAACGCTGTGAGTGGTTGAATTCCGTCGCACTGATCCCCAAGCCGATGTGCATCCGTACGAATGCAGAATCCAGAAGAGCCGATCTCAGAGCCACCTCCCCAACTCTTTCGGGAAGTCCACCATTCAAAGGTGCTCGAAGTAATGGCTGTCCCGCGACTCTAAGAGTCTCGAGCCGAGCGCCTAAGGTAGCGACTTGTATCTCTTGTTCCTTGTGGGCCACGGTCGAAAAGGGCGACCCTTCGCGTCCTTCGGACTCCAAGGGGCTGCCGGAGGTTGATTCGGAGTCGCTTGGAGTTGGAGTTGCACTCCCCTGGCTAGTCATGGTGACAAGGCCATCATCGTCTTCGTCCTCATCGTCGCTCAGACCGATGATCTCGCCCTCGTCTTCGCTTGATTCAGAAGCAACGGATGGCCGATCGATGGCTTGAGCTGTCGATGCCGGAGACGCTGTCGATGCCGGAGACAGGAAGTGGTTGACTGTGTGAAGCATGTAGCGGCCTTTGTAACTGACGGCGCCTCCGGCAGCGGCCAAGCTGGTAGTGTTGGCCGAACCATTCCGAAGCGTCACCTCCAATGGTCGTCCGCTCCACCCCAATGTCGCTGCTGCCTTGGGCGAGAACACCTCGACCGGCACTTCAGGCACCATGAAGGATACGGGCCGAGGATCCACGTCCTGTACACGCGCCGAATTGGGCTGGGAACCAAGTGGCTGCAAATTCTCGAATTCGGCCTTCAACTCCATCTCCCCCAGACCAAAATCCGGGTAGTCCTTCATGATGCCACTTTGCTTGATCATGCGAAATGCTTCGGTCCGGACCTCCTTATCGTCCGAGACGAACATGACGACGGGTTTGGTTCGGTCCGGCGATTTGCCCATCATGAAGAGTGAGAGGTCGACAAAGCTGGCCGAGTCCTGAAGCTTGTCACTGTTGTCATTGAGGTGGGAGACAATGGCCTGGCTGAGTTCGTTGACAAAGATATCCCGTGCTTCGCCAATGGCTTCGTAAACTTGGACACGGCCAATCGTTGAGCCCAGTTTCAATGTCCCACGAGGGCGCCCCGTTGAGTTGGCGGCGTATGGCCGGGGCTTAGGCTTGCGTTGGATGAAGTTCATATCGGCGACATTGTCTTCACTAAGTCTGAAGCAGAAAACCGAGTGACTCGAAACGTTCGTTGCGATGGAAGTAGGGAGGGAACGAGGAATCGGGAGTGGTGCCGTCGCCCATAAAAACTGGGCGTCGGGGCTGAGCCGCAGGTGGCTGCAGACGGCAGAGCTCAAAGCCACCAGAACCTGCATGATACTGACAAATCGAATTTGCAAGCGGGGAAAGATTTCTCTGAGAAGCCGTGCATCCAGGGTCCCCAGGGGCCTCGAGGGTGTCGATGACTGGGCGCACAGCTTTCAATTGGCGACCTCCACCAGCCTTTGTCCCAACAATAATACATACTTGGTACAATACAATACCTCTCTCAAGATCTTTATCAGGTACTTTAGTTGAGAGTGCGGATATGGACATCTCTTTGCAAAAGTACCCAATTTCCAGCCATCTGCGAGCCTGGATCCTCCAAGAGCTATGGAAAGAATGCGGGCTGAGCCCGCAGACCCCGAGCCTCAACATGTCTTCCTACTTTGATTACTACTCGACTCGTTGCCAGCGCTTTTCTCGGGACGGCGGCATTCACATTTGCGTACAATCACACCACGCCCTTGTCGACGTCGCCAAGCAGATCTTGACAGATGCGACCAGGGATGAAGTCTGCTCGTCCCTGGGAAGCCAGTCGAATCAGCGGACGGCAGACACCACAATCGACTTCTGTGGCAGCCTGCTACTGATGGCCGAGGTGGGCGTACACAAGTTTGGCTTCTCGGGATCCAACCCCCTGACGTGGTGCGGCCACCAAACGCTCCGGCAAGCCGTTGAGAGGCATTTTCAGCCCGAAAAGGAGCTTCAGCCGGACAATCCGAGGCTCGGACGTCTGTTCACGGCTCGGAACCTCACATACGTCGGCGGCATGAAGATCAAGTGGACCAGCAACATCGTAGATCACCTGCTCCTGTCAGACGACGACCAGACCGTCTTCATCTTTCACCACGCCGGCTTTCTGCGTTACCAACAATGGTAAGTCTTGCTTCACTCTTTCTTCTCAACGTCAACCGTTAACAGAACCTCTCCTCACGCCAGTTTCACACACCCCCTCTTCCCTGACATCTTCATCGACGAAACCCTCCGCACCCTCTCCCTCCTCTTCCCGCAAAACAACCACAAATCTCGCCGCTGGCTCTTCAGCCAAATCTCAGAACACTCCCTGGACCCCAGCATCGCCCGATGCGGCAACCTGCGCGTCCAAAACAGGCGCTTCGAGCATTTCTCCTTCTGGCACGACCGCCTCGTCATCCTCAAGCAGGCCTTTGACGAGTCCAGCCCGCGCGGGCTCAGGCAGTGGTGGTATGATCGCCGGAACTCGGTGCAGTGGTACACGTTCTGGGTGGCTATCCTCGTGTTTGCCATGACGGTGTTTTTTGGGCTGGTGCAGAGTGTTGAGGGGGCGCTGCAGGTTTATTTGAGCTGGAAGGCGTTGGGGAAGGAGGTGCTATGACAGCCTGGCTGTCTGAGTCCAGTCTCATGTCTGCATGGCTTAGGCTGCAAAATAGAGAATGCTCTGGCTGTACTTCTGACGACTTGTTTGGTGGTTCCCCAGCCCCACCACAGTCGTGGATTCCGGTCACCTCAGACCAGCTCAATCCGTTGAAGACAGCTTTCTCGAACAGGTTGTCTTCCGCACCTCGTTCAGCAAACTTGTATACACCGAGTCGTCGGTAATTATTGTCCTCTTTCTTCCTCACGACAAGCTCATTGGTCGGTGGCACCAGATTCTCATCGAATCCCATGGCGGCAGATGGCCATCAAGAATACTTGGGAGGGAGAGCACCTTCGCATTTTTTCCACCCTCCTTTTCGCCACGGCCACGTTGCCGACGCAGTCGAGTAATGCTTGTGGGTGTTGTTATTGAAAGGGACCAGCCGCGCTTCAAGGGTTATCGAAGCAAATGTGATGGCGCCAAAGGGGGCGCCTGGACTGACGTAGTCGATACGAGCTCGAAGCCTTTGTCCCACCACGCAAAGTTCGTGGCATCTTTCACCCATCGGCCAATGTCCGTACGCATTGGCGTCAGCTTCTCAGTACCTTGAGGTCACGGGGCCGTCGATGGATGCCCAGGACCACGACGACCCGGTATGACTTCAACTTTCGATGCTGTGCGCCATAATCCAGTCCCGGAGGTTGCCAACAACTAGATGACATCGTTCTACGACCCGAAAACAAGAGCATTAACGCTCCTGAAGTGGGAATGGGTTGCAACAAAACTTTTTATTGGGATACGATTGATCGCCGACGGTTTGATATGATTTCTGTCGGCAGACTGGTCGACTTCCATCTCGTGGTCTTCGTTTTCGAGTAGGGCATCCATCTCATATCGGTCCGTTCGAGACAGTACTTTATTGAAGAGGGCTGGGCACTGCTGGTAAAGTGCAATCATTTCGCTGGTGAGTTCCGGGTCGTCATATTGAAATGCGTTCTGGAGGAGCAGACGCATCGTCTCTTGAAAATTGACTTTCATCAGCAGAACCTTCTCCACGTTGGAGTAATTTGTTTCGTAAATACGAGTCTTGAAGTACCTAGAGTAAAAGCCGTTAACGTTAACTTAGCGAAAATCCAGACGGTAAGACGGTAAGTAAGTTTTTTCGAAAAAAACCGGCACAAGAGATTGAGGTGAAGCGAGCGACACATGGGCGACGCAGACTCGGATTTCTATGAGGTCAACGGTTTCGTGTTTGCTGGTAAGCCTTCTCCGAGCATAATGCCAGAAAGACTCCGCGACAGGAGCCAGACACGAAGCCATACGAATTTCGCTGTCCAACACTCTTGAGCTTGATAGTAGGCGTTCTCCAGACATGGTGCTAACATCAGTACAAGCACCATAGCCAGACAATCTTACGACAAGACCTGAACATCAAGCCATGTAGATCTGGCCAAGCCCAACGGTCTCGGGTTTTCTAGTGAGGTTTATTAAGCAAGGCAGGGGTACAGGTGAGAGACAATTACTGACGGAAGTTAGACATACCGGTGTAAGTTCTCACCTGTGAGTGTGTTGCAGTTGACAGGTAAAGCGTATTCCTCGGCAAATACTGGGAAATGAACGGCGGCATGAATGTTTGGGCGCAATGTGTCGTTCTGGTACTGTAGTGCCCCGCCGGAATTATCAGCAACACCGTCTTGGAGAGCTGGCTCGTCGATAACATGGACTCCCGGAGTCCCTGCCTGCGATGCAGCAGCCGACCTGGTCGAGGCCACGGCTGCAAATAGGCAAAGCTGGTTGAAAAGGTACCGAGCCCGGTAGATGATGTCGCCCATGAGGTAACGGTCCCGACGCGACACACGGGCCCCCATCAGAACGGTAGTGCTCTTTGCAATCGCAGCGGTAGTCTCGATGATCAGCTTGATCGGATCTTTCTCGTAATCCTTAGCTTGGTCCCAAAACCTTGGCCGAATATGCTCCCTCTTTAACCAGTTCAGGAGGAAGGCCGGGATAATGACGATCCATTGCGCGTGGTGAGACATCTTGTAGCTTGATAGATGGTGAACCGGGAACTGTAAACGAGGCCAACCCGGTGGGAAGGGCCAACAAGTCCGGAGCTGTATAGCATATTCCGAGCGCGCTGACTTTGTAAGAATGCCATCCCGAAGGAGATAGTGCATCAAGTTGCCAAGACCGTTGTACTCAGAGTGTGCTGCGTCGGTGGGCCGTGACATGACCAGATCAAGGGCCGGTGACAGGCGAGGAAGTGCCGGAATGTCTTCAGCCATCCCCCATTGCGCACAATATTGTTTCCGCTCCGAGGCAGTTTGCAATGAGCGGTGCAGCATCTGCTGCATCTCCAGTGTCTGGATGTGGAACCGGCCGTGAGTGATGTGATCGAACTTGAGCATGACATCGGGATTGACGGCGCATTGGCCGGAGGCCGCGAAACAGCATCTGCAGAACTTGTGTGCTCGTGGGCCTTTGAATCCGGAGTTCTCGGCTTGTTGAGGCATATCACCAATGTAACACATCGCAAATGCGCAGACACGGACGGTTTCGTTACGGATCGTCATGACGATACCGGCGTCGAGATGCGCCAATCGTCTTCAGCGCTTTTATGACATCGCCGAAGTCAGATGCATGAGGCCTACCACTCCGGTGTCAGTGTGAAATATGAAAAAGAACCTGCCATTATGAGGCAAGATTGTATGCCTAAAGTCGGCACCCTCGAAGGGTGAAGATCGCGGACAGTTGAGTAATACAAGAGGTACGTTAGATAGGAAGCTGAACTTACCCAAGTACAATCGAAAAAATACTACCTGGTCGAAGACGTTCCTCTTCACCAAGTCCTGCTAGTGTGAAGTAGAACACCATCAAAGTCCTACTACTACTACTAGAAGCATCATGATTTTTGGCATGCTCTTTCCCTCTTCGGCATGCCCAAGCTCATTCAGCGAATCAGCAAGCATAGCGGTCGGAGTGCGTCGAGGTGGCAGGGGTCGTGATAAGGTCCGATAGGAATGCGTCTAGGAGTACCGGATCGGGACCGTAGCGCGTCGAGGTCGAGTGGAGAGCGGTGGAGCAGAGTGGAGAGAAGACCAGGGAATGTGACGAATGAGGTGGCGTGAAAACGGAGAACGCGTCGGGTTCTGGGTGCGTATCCTAGAGTAGGGACAGGATGACCGCCCCCACCCCTCCAACTGAAGGGAGA